TTGGTGATGATCTCGTCACGCGACAGTCCGCACGGCAAACAAATCATACAAGCAAAACGTCCCGCATCTTGCATTTTTGCCACCATTCCTGCAACTAAAAGTTCAGTTTGATTTGAGCACCTATTTTTACCACCCTGGGTAATATGAAGCTATACTCAAGCAATTTTGTTGAGATCCTGTCATGCAGCAGAGCATGGGCAGGGCTACAATCTATGATTTCGCCGTCGCTGTGACAACGTACGCGATGAGGCCTAGCTCCCCTTTATCAAAACCCACACTCAATCGTAATGCCTCGCATCTAGTAGGGCAATACCATTTTTTTACCGCAAAGCCGCAACTTGATTTCCCCGTCACACGACGGCAGAGTATAAGTGCAATCGCGCAAACACTAGTCAGTCGGTAAAGCAAGTGCATCAAAACATGTACGTTCACCTATAAACAGCCCACCTACACGCTCATTGATGATAACAAAGTTTCAAAGGTCTACTTTAAAACCAATGCAGAAACATCCTCTTTTCGCAAAGAAAGTGAAAAATTTGAAACACTAAACTAACACATCCTCTGGGTGCCAAGATAAAGACGCGCTCACCAAAACTAATATCAAAACTTGTTCTGAAGCTTTATGACGACCAGATACCAATTACCGCACTATCTAATTGTTTGAGTTTCCTCCTATGCTGTGAGCAAAGATCTTTGTTCTAGCGCGTTTCACTCGCAGTGAGGCTCGGCGTATTAGAACCGCCGCGGACACCACTATGACATCGATCACAGCGGCCTGGTCGAGCACTCAACAGCAGTCATGAGCCCTCTTTCATAAGCAAGTAGCGCAGACGAAACGAAATCAATAGCTTGATAGAATAAGAGAGAGACCGATTCGATTGAAAATGTCAAAAGCAAGATGAACACAGGTGTTTGGCAACCGACCTTGGACTTGTGCATGTTCAAGACGCATTCGTTGGTTCACTCGGATCGGCACGGCATTTTTGGGATCGGAATCGACATCCCCGAGACATCGCGTCAGCATTTCCATTGAACCGTAGACAAGATGCATCTGCACAGTCGTTTCCGACTGTTTCATCGCTAACGTTCCTTGCCATACTACAGGGAATCGCTGAAAAAAATAATTTGGAGGAGAGGAGTTGTTACTTCAAAGATTTTATCTTCAACACCGACTACTGTAATTTAGTCTACGGATTCAGAACTACCGTCTAAAACTGTGCAAAAAACGCGAATTTCAGTCTTAAGCGATAAGAGCGAAAGCAAACGAAGTCAGTCAAACGCCGTTGATCCTTATCCGTCGCATCGATAAATGAAATTCACAGTAAAATCCATAAAATCCACCTTCAGTTGCTCTTCGGTTGTAAAGATACTTTCCAAAGAGTGGTCCTCGTCGGGGTCACGATGAGAAAGAGCCAGCTCACGTAACTGATTGACAAGCTCCTGAGAAAGAGGGGCGACATCCGGTTCGGAAATCCGAGGAGAACTGCAGGCTGGTGACAATGACGTAGCCCAAGCAAGCGTCTCTGAGACAACTTCCCGGACTGAAGGTTCTGTGCAGAGGTGCGAACGACTGCTGACTTTTCGGAATGCAGACCCCACTGAAGCAATTCCACCTTCCCCTTTGCTTTGCGGTCGCGTGGCAATGATGTCCAAAATTTCATCGATAGAAAGCTTACGCCCAATCGGTGAAGAGGTGCCACTACTGCTACAGCCAGTTTCCTTGCTGTCAGCATCTGATAACGACGACTTAATCGAATCGCCTTTTGAATCCGGCTTAGAGTCACTTTCATAGATGTTGTAGATCTCCTCTTTCAGAATCCTTTCCAAACACCGTTCGATATCGTCTTTGGAAAACGGTACATGAGAGACAGAGATGCTCTCAGACTTGCGTTTGGCGGCGAGTACCTTGGTGTCAGAAAAGACGCGCTTCCTCATTTCTTCTGCCTGGCCGGAAACATCTGTGGACGGGAACGAACGCTTTCGATCACTTGACTGGCCACTTCCATTTTCGTTCGTTCGCTGCTTCAGCATCTGCAAAGCAGCCAGCTGCGGATTTACAGCTGGTATCTGGCTCCTAGCAAGAGCCGCGTATTGCTGGATAAGCATTGCCTGTTGCAGATTTGCAACGGACTGCGCTGCAGCCTCCGGCTGAGAGCTGATCAGCGAGAGTAGGTCGGCTGTCGGACTCGCGACCGGGAGTCTATCGGAGGCACCCGCAGCAGCAGCATTCATCAGATTCATGCTCAACATCATTTTTGCTGCATTGGCGAGAAGAGGATTTTGCGCAGCCAGCTGGGTAGCAGTGGGCAGCGTCCCCACAGAAGATTGCTGATTCAGAGCCAAAAGACTATTCATGGCAATAGCCCCTGCCAAGTTCAGGATGTTCACTGTCTGATCACCTGTTCCCTGAGGATCAGCGGTAGACAAAGGGTTTCCTGCTGATGACGGATTCATCGGCTCTTCGGGAGATGTTATGCAAAAAGAAGAAAGATGCTGAGGTTCAGTCGCCTTTCGACTTCGCTTTACACCGATCTCAGTTGCCCGCCGTGGTGTACCGTTTGTGCTCATTCAATTTCGTCACCGAGGCACAGTAGAAGGGAGATGAAGGATGCACACGATAGGCAGTTAAGTGTACAGTGTGTGTGTGTG